CACAGGTTTCCCAGAGAGGTGGTGGATGCCCCATCCCTGGAAACGTTCCAGGTCAGGCTGGACGGGGCTCTGAGCAACCTGATCTAGTTGAAGATGTCCCTGCCCACGGCAGGGGGGTTGGACTAGATGACCTTTAAAGGTCCCTTCCAACCCAAACTATTCTATGATTCTATGATTCTATGATTCTATAACTGTGGCTCTAGAGCAAATCTACAGTCTGTATTTTTTCCCTCAATGATTCAGAAACTTATTTTAAATAACTACAGCTTTATTATCTTTCTGCTTCAAACTTAGCTGATATTGAACTATTCATTAAGGCAAGCAAAAGTGGAGACACTTATTTATAGCGCTAAAAAGTACTAAATGCTTGGCTGGAAGCAAGCAGTAAAAAAATAACATAATTTTGTTACTAGCCACAGAGGTGTTTAGAAATGGGTAATATCCTGCAAGGTTCTAGGGTACCATGAATCACGGGAGAAAGGGGGTTCGTGTGTTACACAGAGGAAGTCTTCCAAAGTCTTGCTTACTGCTGCTCATGGTTAGGGCACCTCTAAAATCCTTTTATTCCCCGTGCTTTTGGTGACATGTTATGAACTTGCCCACCTTCAAATCTATAGGTCTCAGAAAGACTGAGGAAGATGTAGACTATTTGAATTATGCCCTCTAAAATACAGGGTAGGGCTTTGTCGTCCATGACTGTGAATCTAGCCATATATAAACCTGAGCTCAAATTTCAAATCAATTTCAAGTCAAATCAGAGGTTTGAGTGTGATAAATAAGAATAGTTATCAGGAATAGGTTGTCCCTGCAGTGTTAGAACCAGAAGCTGCAGCAACTCTGCAGTAAGTTGTTGACCATGTACCGTTTGCTTCTGCCATAGGCAGCTGGTCAACATGAATGCTCTGGATTGTGAGGATATAGATGATAATATTTAATTATGCATCAGGTGAAACTAATGTTATCTGTAGCTTTTACACTCTAGCTAGATAATATTTATTTAAAACAGTTTTTTAAGGGAGTAGCAGCTAGGAGTGGTGGAACTTAAGCTTTGTTGAAAGGGAAAATGACATTGATGAAATAACATCCCGCTCACCACCACTTTCCAGGGAATCTATGCCCAAGTAATCTGAATTCTTCCCATGCTATCAGGAATCTATGCCCAAGTAATCTGAATTCTTCCCGTGCTATCAGACACAAGTGAGGGTACAAACAAGCTCCTGCAATCTCATCCATTTTGGGAAAACCTTTGCATGTCCTCTGTGTTGTTACGTCCTGGAAGATTTCCCTCTCTGAGTGCTGTTTGCTGGAGAGATTCTTTTGGTTGCCCAGCTACCTAGTATCAGCCACAGCAGAGGCTTGCTTTATGGTTTCATACTTAGTGTGTGTCCCAACTTTTTGCTCTGCCTAAACCCTAGTAATTGTAAGCCTTAAGACACACAATATCTTCTGCATAGTTTAGCGTTGTTTTCATAATGAGAAACATCTTGCCTTTTCCTTATGCAGGCATAATTGCATGTAACTTTTTAGTTTTCCTCAGCATTCATTTTTCACACAACCCTCTCCTAATTTTTGCTTTCAGTCCTCGTGCCGTCTGAGCCTCCTGTGTATTATGAACCTCAAGCTGAAGAAAAATTGTTTATCCAGGTTTCATTCTAAAAGTTACAGCTACAGCCATAAGCAAGGGAGCACAGAATCTATAGCTCAGTTTCCATTATCTCCTCAGAGGCACTATCTGTCTGGGGCGCTAGCTATTCCAGGAGCCGTATCTACTTCAGGGCCTGTGTCCAAAGAGACAAGCTGACGCTGAAATTGCAGCTGACAGCACTTGAGTACACTGGCTTTCAGAGCACGTGGTGAAACTCTTAGTACTGGCTCATGCAGATTTTATTAACCATTTATACAAACGTTATCCTGCCACTTCCTCCAATGAAGTGTCCCTCAAGCAATCCTTTCTGCCACCTGAATGTGTTCTGCAAATAACTGTGCAGCTAAATAGCCGTTAAGAAAATGACCTCTGTTTAAAAAGTGAAAATAAGAATATAAATAAGCACCTTTGAGATCTGTCAGCTGCATGACTTTTGAACACTTTGCATTAGGGTTTCCATTCAAAGTGATGTACTTATTTTAGCTCACCACAAACCTCTGTTGTTGTCATAAAAATGTACAGCATTTTATGTTTGTTATTTTTTAAAAGCAAGCATAGCTGTATAGATAGATGCTTCCTTATTTAAACAAGAAAAAGAAATTTTATCCTTAATCATGAAAATTCATTCTTCCAATATAATAGGCTATCACACTACTTCAGCTTTTCAGGTTTATTAGATTATAGAAATACATAATCCATGAATTATTTCTCGTCTCATTGTCTGTCTCAGACTGATTTACACTAGCTTGGTGTGACTTTAAATTCAGTCTGCCTTATGGAAGACATGGTTTCAAATCATATGGTGGCTCGTATGTAAAAATTACCTTGATACATCATTCTAGCTACTGTCTAGATAGGACACTAACTTGCTGCATGAAGTAGCATAACTGGGAGGAGAAGAGAGTCATGTCTGGAACGTGAGATAGTAATTTAGTTGTCTGTGATCGAAGAGCAGCGTGAGAGAATTTGTACAGATCAGTCCAAACAGTGCTTGCTTCAAATGCTGCAGTACTTGTAGTGCTAAAGTTTGGCCTCACAGCTCTTAAGAAAGTTAGACATACACAAAATGAGGAAGTTCTTTAAATGTTGCTTAGGAGTAGCATTCCTTTAGTAGAGAAGTATAGTCAGTGTTACTTCTTCAAAGTAAAGGGAGAAGTTATAAGGTTGATGCCTGCATCCTGGGTGTGTACAGTACTAGCATCAAAGGGAATAAGGGCCATGACTGAATTTTAGCTGGCACAGAAGCTGTGTATAGCATGCTTTATTTGTATGTAATATGTTCTTCTTGGTGCAACTGGAACATCATTCTGTAATGTGGGAAATATTCAATCGCAGGAGTTAAGCTATACTGGATCTTCATCAAGCTTTCATTCATATTTAATTATGCCTAGCATTAAAAAACAGGGACAGAGAGAAACATGTGGCTCGTGGAAAGCTAAATGTCATATGTAATGAGTAGGAAAAGGGAGACTGTTACATGTTGGGGAGAATATGTACATTCTCAGACCTGTGCTGACTTTAGCAGGATTAGCTTCGGTATCCGTACAACACACTCACAGATCTGGGAACAGAGTAGGAGGCTTACTGCTGAGCCTCGTTTCTAAGATGGAGGTATCACTGCTTCCAGGAGGAAAGAAAGAAGCTGGGGGTGTGGTGGGGGGAAGTAATGGCAGCGGCCTGGGTGCTGAGAAGCAGTGTTGAACCTCAGCTTCAAAAAGTTTGGGGGCTACTGGAGTAGAGGATCCAACTTGACATACTTGCATTAGTTCTGCAATTGCTTTTAGAAAAGAATTTTCCTTTTAAAGAAGGAATTTTGTTTTTCCTCTTTTCTAACCAGATCAAAAAGAAACAGCAAGAAGTAGTCGGCTTTTTAGAGGCCAACAAGATTGATTTTCAGCAAATGGACATAGCAGGTGACGAAGACAACAGGAAATGGATGAGAGAGAATGTCCCAGGTGAAAAAAAGCCTCAAAATGGAATTCCCCTCCCTCCACAGATCTTCAACGAGGAGCAGTATTGTGGGGTAAGAAGCTGTCTGGAAATTTAAATACCTTCGGAGAGTCTTCTTTCACAGAAAGTGACTTTTTTGCATTACCAGGAAGCGTCCTCAAACAAACTCCTTAAAACAATTTCAGATTCACTTTGGAAGAACAATTCTTAGAAAGCATTTTTTATGCACAGAAAGGCAGTGAAACAAAAGATTATTCCTTTTTAAAAGAAAAATACACACGGAGGGAAAACTGACTAGAGAAACTCTGCTTAACAGGCTGCATGGATTATCCCCTGCAGACCCAGAGCCTGTGCAGGACCCAGAGCTCACTGCAAGGCATGGAGTCTGCTGCCTTTGAGGAGCTCTGTGTTTTCCTCTCACATTCTCCTACCACCTGCTATGCAGCTCACTCACAAGTTGTCCTGCTGTTGGCTCTCTGCCTGCACTCTCACTCCAGCTCCTGAAGACCAAAGGCAGTACTGTCTAGGTGATACTATGGCTTCTTCACACAATATCGCAGGATAACTAAATGTAGACTATGAAGACAGCTCAGCTGCACTTGGAGTAGTAAATGCTCAATTATGTGGTTTGACAATACCAAGCTACTCAAGACTAGTGGGGTTCATAGCAAGGCTGATCTACTATCTCTAGCTGTATTGCATTTTGCTTCCTGAACTTTCAGTTAATTTTGCATGGTGAGTGTTGATATTTTGTTTGTCTGACACTGACTCATCTGGGCTGCTAGGAAGTCAAGTAGATGTCTGAGGCACCAGGGGCTGTGAACAGGAATCTTTCTTTTCCATTATATTATAAAAATAAATAGCAATTATAGTTGACTGGAATAGTTCTAGTATGTGGTTTGAATTATTGAAATTATATTGCTTGTTCAATAAATATCCAACTCTTCATAACAGAAATTGTAACACTCATCAGATGCTTTTGTATTTTCACATATGCTTGTAACAGGTTATTTCTCTTGAGAGAGTTTGTTCAAACCGATGATAGATAATACTGTACCAGCATGAATACTAGGATCCATGAATCAAAAAGACATCTGAGAGTTTTTTTCTCATATTCTGGATGGATATACGTAGTCCGGACAGTACTCTGATATGATCGCTGAAATGAACTTGCAAAGTACTCTGAAACGCAGATCACAGTTTTATGTTACTCCACAAATCCAGTGTGAACTACTGCGAAGGTTGTTTTGAGAGAGAAGGGATTTACATGCCACTAAGTTTTCAGAATTGACTTCAGTGCTTTCAGAGCAAAAGTTGCTAGTATGAGTAACAGAGTGCAATTGTTTTCCTCATTTTCTCACAGGAATCTTAAAAGAGAACTTGGTAGGTTAGAGTTCATGTGCATTTCAACATCCAGCCTGCACCAATAAAAAGTATAATTTGATATATCTTACTCTGGATTTTGTGGCAGCCAATGTGGCAATAAATATTTCTGATATTCCCTGGGGAGGTTATATAGTGAATGAAAGAGTAATTGCCTTACAAAGTGTTGCAGCTGGTCAGCCTTGCCAGTAAATTATAAATATACAGTTTTTACTCCATGTCTGAAGCTATTTCAGGAAGCCAAATAATCTACATTTTGAAATAAATTTAAGCTAAGAGTCCTTTGCAAAGACACCTCCATGTGGAAAGGGATCCAGAAAGCAGTTGCAACTACTGATTTAAAAACTAAATCAAATTTACAATTAGTCTAAAAGTCTCTAGAATTCTAATGCACCCAGCTCTCAAAGCTCATAGCTAATGATCCCGGTGGGATCATTATCAAACAAAGATTGATTTATAGCGTCATTATTTCCAAATAAATAAGGTAAGGAGATCCATATCAGTACATGAGCCTTACCCTTCTCCTCAGGGGAAGGTGCCTTAAGGGAGCTGCACAGTGAGTGTGAAGTGGGATTATGTGGGCCGGTTGAGAACATGGCCAGGGGCTGGCAGACTGGTGCAAAAGTGACATGACGTCTTCTGCGGCATATCTACAATATAAAGCTGGGCATTTGCATTCTACTTCCCCGCATAACCTGTGCAGGTCCAACAGACCCATTGTTCTGAAATCCAGAACTGTTTTACGCTGTTTAAGGTTTCCATGATACATCTTAACTCTTCCCCTGTGTCCCACTTCCTTTGTCCTCAGCCACTTTATTAAAAATAGGTCTGAGAACTGCAGAGGTCTGTCTGAGTCATGGAGTCCAGTCCAGTATCCTGAATTCATGAAAGTCCCTCTAAAATATGTTACTCTTGTTAGTACAGTCTTCAAGGGCCTCAGTCTCGTGGCATCTAGAAACCTTCAAATTTGTAGCCTGGGTATATGCAGTCAGTTTATACACATTTCCTGGTATACCAAAATCACCCTTTAACTTAAACAGCTCTAATCCAATGTATTTGTAAATGGGAATCATATCCTTTTTTAGTCTTCATTTTGCTGTGTTAAACAAGCCAAAACAAACCTCTTTTTTTGTAAGACATTTTCTTTTTCTCTTTCTCCTTCCTAGTAATTTTTTTCTTTCCTCATTCCCAGGTAGTCCTTTGTTTTTAGGTCAAACTTGTTACATTTCATTTCTGCTTGTTCTCCTTTCTGAGATCACTCTTCGCCCTCACTTCCCTTCCTATCAATTGTCCTGTATGTTTGGTTCCCATTCACACATGTGCATGTGTATACACATTAGCAGCATGCTGGCCTGGGAGCACTGGCCTCGGGGAGATGAAAATTCAAGATAAAAGATTTCCTTCCTCACCCTGAGAAAGAGGAATTTGGCGAGAGACATGACAACGTTCAAATATTTTAAGGGCTGCAGCAAAGAGGAATTCATTATTAGTCTGAATTCAGTATTGACCCTGCTTTGAGCAGGAGGTTGGACTAGATGGTCTCCTGAGGTCTCTTCCCACCTGAATTATCCTGTGGTTCTAGGATTTTGAGCAGGATTGGACTAGATGGTCTCCTGAGGTCTCTTCCCACCTGAATTATCCTGTGGTTCTAGGATTTTGTAAAATATGTTCTGCTCCACACCCACTGGAGGTGGGACAAGATGTAATGAGCAAAAAATGCAGCAAAGGAAGTTTAAGTCAGACATCAGAAAAAAATACGTAGTATTCAAGAGATTGTCTCATTATCTCATTAAAGGTCATTACCAACGGATTGGAGAAACACCTATCAGGAATAGTGTAGTGGTTCCTGCCTTGGAGAAATGGTCCTTTGAGATCTTCTCCAATCCCCTCTTCTGAAGTTCAGTGACATTTCGGAGGTCGGGGTAAGGAAAGAGGGGATACTGGGGACAGGTGAGGAGGCTTCCTTTTTGTGCTAGAATAGACTGACATAATGAGCAAGTAAATGCAGTCCTGTTGCTAATCTGCTTTTCTGCTGATACATAAAACATTCTGCATCTTCTGGTTGACCCTGAAGAGCTGCCTCACTTCCTAACTTGTACTGTAAAATGGAGGTTTCTTATGGATACATTTATGAAAATACATCAATGGTGAGCAGCTTTTCCGCGAGGTCAGAGAAGCTTAAGGCTTATAAATAGCTTGAATCTTATTTTTCTTTCAGATCTTTGGTATTGCCACTTGAAGAAACAGATTAGAAATGGATTCATTTTGTATGCCTGGCTATAACACCAATTTCAAGTATCCTAATCCATCAGCATTGGCAATTATGTTCTTATTTGATCTTTTTCTTAAGGTGCTTTTTTGCTCATGTCTAGACAGACGTCTGCATCTGTGTCACTTTCTAAATATATTGAGCACTCTGTTGCTCTTGTCTTTGCTTTTGCTTAACAAAAAACACCCCTAGAAAACTAGGAGAGAAATGGAATGTAAACTTCTGGTTTTCTCTGTAAGCTGAAGTCTATGCTTTTCTCTGTAAACTGAAATCCATTGAATAAAATAGCCTTGTACGTATTATTTTCAAAGAATCTCTGAATTATTAGGTAAGACTTTCATTGGATGCTTCATATAACTGCTAAAGTCAAATATACGGAAATCATAGGGACCTCTGGAGGTCTGTAGTCCAGCCTGCTGCTCAAAGCAGGGATAGCTTTAAAGTTAGCTTATGTTGCTTGGGGCTTTGGCCATCTGAGTTTCAAAAGTCTCCAAGGACAGCATTTCCATGCCCTCTCTGTGCGCTCTGACCTGGTGCCATACCACTCATGTGGGGAAGAACTTTCTGCTGATGTCCAATTGGAGTTTGCAGTTTTGCTGTCTGGCATTTCCACAGTGGTCATACAAAGGGTGATAGCGTAGAGTGTATATGTGCATATGCACTCATATGATAAAGAAAAACTCATGGAGTAGTTTTTTTTTTTAAATACGTTTCACTGTATTTTTCAAAGACTAGTTCCAAAGACAAATGACACCACTACTCTCCACTCAGACCATTTATGTCTTCTCATACAGATATAATATTATTGCTTACCTCATCCTAAATAGGATAGCTTACTCCTCAGTGTAAGCAAGGTAAGTGACCTTCCATTTACTGCGAGATACCACATTTACTGTGGGATATCATTGTACACTACCAGTGGCCAAGGAGTACCTGATATGATGGAAGGTTGCATCCTCTTCTGATAAGGAGTTCATCTGGTCATTCACACGTCCTGCTTGTGCCCTCAGGTCTGGTTATCTGCAAGGCTATGTGTCTCTGGAGAGTTTTAGTACGCTTGCCGCCTGCTGCTTTTCCTCTGGGGAGGAACTAACAAGACGTATAAAATGTCAAGTCCACTTCATGGCCCCTCCTTGTTATAGTCTTCTCTTTGTTTCCCAGCTATTGACATGTTGTGCCATAGTTTGCTTAGGCTGTTTTATGAGTATGCGGTATGCAGGAGGACACAAGTTTCCTGTGTTTGTACGGCCTGTCAAAGGCCCATGTCAAAGTCCAGCCCTTCGAATTGCAGAAAATCCTCATGTTCTTGTTTGCTGTATTGCTCCTAAGTTTATGGGTTAGACTTCAGACACTGGCTTTCTTAAATACTTAAGGCAGACCTGGTTTAGATAAGAAGGAGAACCCCACAGCAATGTGAAAACAGCAAAGAGATGGTTTGAGAAATGGGTGGCCTGGAGCAGCGGCAGGTATTCCGCCCGGTCAGGGCAAAATGTGCTCTGGGGCTTCTCCCAGGCTGGGCAGTTCCCACTGTGTGTAGCTAGGTCTGTGTGAAAGCCTATCTGTCCCTTAGATAAATTAGTGAAATGGGCTGTCATTTATCCTGTCTGTTAAGCTATGTTATCTCTTCCAAACTGGACTGAAACGTCATTGATTCCAGTCTTGTTGACATTAAGGTGACTTCTAAACCATCCACTCCAGCCTTTCCCTAGGATTACCCTTGGCCAATAATTTATTCTCTGGAAATGCTAAAACAGCCCAATAAAACAACTCAGGTTCTAACCCAGCTTTACAAACGAGCCCTAAGGATGAGTCAGCACCTTATTACTTACAGGCTTCTATTTTTGGAGTTATTTGGGATGAGAGGGAGGAAGATAGTGTGGTCAAGGTAGTAGTCTAGGACTCAGCAGACTTGCGTTCAGTCCCCTGTCCTACACAGAGCTGCTGAGTGATTGTGAGCCAGTCACTTATGACCAGAGTTTCTGCTGAGATCTTAAATACATGTTGATTTTTACCTGTGTAGGAAGTGAGTCATGAACTTTCCAGTAACAAACTAGTGATAGCAGAGCTTCCTTAATTGATAGGAAAGTTGTACAGGTGAATACAGTAAAGACCATGCAAGTTCTAGATGGTAGGATAGGAGCCATCCCTCACATCTTTTCAGTTACATTAGCACTGAAGAGGAAACAGTCATTTAACATAACGATTTATAACTTCAGTTCACATGTGGACAAGACATTTTGGCTGGTACATATATGTCAGAGGGAACAACACAGTCCTTTGCTAAGTTTGTCTGAAAAGTAACTGCATTTTCTAACCAGAGTGCCTTTCTTTAAAATAAACAGTTTCCTCATTATCATTTCACTTGTGCTATTACATTGACTGTTGCCTTTTATTTGCCATAAAGCTGTCCAGGGTTTTGAGGGCCTATTTTGTGTTCTTACTCACAGCAAGTTTTATTTTAACATTTAAATGGTAATAGCTTTGCTTTGGTGTGTACAGCTGAGGCACATTAAAATGAGACGTTTAATTTTATCTGATTCTGACATAGATGTGGTATAATTAAAGTGTAAATCTCTGGAGAGATTTGGCCGTTTGTTCATTTTGCCAGCCAGTGTGAAACTCCTTTTATCTGAGTTTTCTTCCTGGGGCTTAGATAATGCAGGCGCTTGTACAAATGCGTAGTCATTGTCATCAATACAAGAAAGATTTGCCTGGGCTAGTCTCTTCCTCCTGTGCTTTTTGTTTGATTTTTGTTACCGATTCTCTGTTGTTTGTTTGTTCCTTTTTTAGGATTTTGAATCCTTTTTCTCTGCTAAAGAAGAAAATATTATTTATTCATTCCTGGGTCTTGCTCCTCCTCCGGGCACAAAGGTATGCACTGCTGTCCTTCCATGGGGGCCATTTATTTGATTTTAATAAAAGATGAAGATAGCCAGTGACTCAGCATGTCAAATAAGGGACAGTGACAAGCATTACATTAGCTGCTGGTGCAGCCAAGTGTTCTTAAGGAAAAAAAAAAAAGTGGCTGTGTAGGTAAATACTAGAAAATACTTCTCTCTTCCCTTCTTTCACTGCAGGCTTGTTGCCATGCCTCCAGCTGATGATTTGTTGTTGTTGTTGTTGACACAAAGCAGTATTTTATCATGTTCAGCTTTTAAATGATGCAGAATTTCCTAATGCAATTTATAGGTTGTGTTAATGACAAGAAACCTTCGCTTCTCCCTGACTGCATCAAACCTTGAGCAAACAGGGTTTGTACTGGCCGCCAACAGAGGGGCTGGGGTGTGGACCCCTTCCATCCTCTGTCTGTACAGGCAGACTGGCACTGTGGGGTTTGCTCCCTCTGCCTTGAGGAGATAACTTAAAGTCTCACCCAGGACGTCACGAAGTCGCTTTGGCAAGTCTACCTGTTGTTCTCCATCCACTGTATTTTGACAATGTTCTAATATATTTCTGGCAAAAGAAAAAGATGTTTCTTTGTTTTCTTTCTTCTTTTTTCTTTTTCTTCTTTTTACAGAAAGCAATGTGTTTTACCTTTAACAGAGTCGTCTTCTAATTAGAAGTTTTATAACTGAGAGCATTGCAGCTCTCTTATCCTGAGATCATGTTAGATGATAATCAAATGTTGCCATCTTTAACGTGGGTGATTCAACAAAAGAAATGAATCAAGAGAGTGATGAGCCAGAGTGATCGCAGAGAACTCTGCTGCATTGTGGTGACTTGGCTGAAGAACTGCCCTGGAGCATGAGATCTGCCTTCTGGTCTAACTCTGCTGCCAACTGTGTAGCAACTTTGAGTGAAACGCTGTTGTAAATGTCTCTCTTTTTCCTCTTCTGTAAAAGCAGAAAGAAAAAGGAGCTTTTGCTAAGTGCTTTGAGAGTTACAGATGAAGAGATACCCAGGCGAGAGCCACAGTTGCTATAAATGTCTTTGACACTGAGTCCCTGTGTGATAAGGAGCAAGTCATTTAAACTTTCTGCTTTAGCTGTGCCATCTCCCACCAGGGGATATAAAAATTACTTGCCTACCTCACAAGGGTCTTGTGAGAATTCATTTAATTAGCATCCACAAAACCATGAAAGGCTTAGAGGACTGCAGGTATTACATATTATAATCATTATAAAAGATACATGGAGAATCAATGAGACAAAGAAAATTGCATTTTTCCATCTTCCCACTTGATATATTATCTGCTCCTTCATGCAAGGTTCTGTTAGATAGCGTGTCTATGAAGCAAAGTAGCAATTTTTCAGAATTCATTTATTCCCAGCTGTCAGCAGAGGCTATTACAGTTTCTACTTTGTGACAACTTTGTAAATGTTGAAAATAATATGTTTGGTACATTCTGCTGAGCAGATAAGTGTTAGTGCTATTGGTAGCAAGCAAGTTTGGTTTACGCTGATTAACTGCTGCATTGGTGGTGATTGTTTCAGTCCAGCAAGTGGAAATAAGTGAGAGTGTTTTTAAAAAATCCATGTGAAGAATGGAAGTATATTTACATCGTCTCCTGTTTAGAATCTGCTCATGAATTTGAGAAAGACATACACAAGTGTTTTAGCATTTATTGCAGAGGTGTTTCTCAGCATTTCACTGTGTGACAGTCTGGCTGTGCTTTGTCATACAAATAACCTTGCTGCACTGCTTCTGCTTTCCTTTCATTAGGCTGTCAATTCAACCTTAGCATGAAGTACAATGGATGGCTCGTGACATTGATTTCCAGCAGCATGAATCTGGAATAATAAGTCAGGTGTGGAAGAGATGGTGATGGTGACACATATGACAGGGTGTCCTACTAATATCTTCTTAAATAATTGTATTTTTTTTCTGGCATATGGTGATAATTTATAAAAGAAGCAAGCTATAAAGCATGGAAACACCACAAAACAGTCAGCAAGCATTTGCTTTCTGGGGGTTTTTACCTCACTGAGACATTACAAAGATTAATATGAAGCTGATACGCTTTGTACTCTTGCCTCAGAATATTCTCTTTCCTTTTCCGTCCATCTTTTGTCACATATTGCACCAGCAGTAGAGAAGCTCTTTAATGACCATGATGCTGTTTCACGGCACAGTCCACTAGGATCCTGACCCAGGACTGTTTTGAGCCTATTTTCTAGAGCAAGCAGAGGAACTTTTTGCTACTCCTTCAACAAATTATAACTTCCCAACAAAATACTTGTAGTTACATTCATTGCCACATCAGCCTGCTGAGTGCAAAATACATGTTTCAGTTCTGCAGATTCTCATTTTTGTAGCCCCGACTTCTCTCTGGGTTAGGTGGCTACAACTTGTCACCAGACCTACTTGTCCAGCATTTACACTGGACAGTTACTGCTAGGTATTGGAGTTCTGATGGTGCCAGAGCCTAATGTGCAAGCTGATCTACACTTACAGGGTGAGTCTGATATGTCTAGGACACATCAAAGTTGTCACCAAGATGCAGATTGACTCTAAGACACATGTAAAGAAGCTCTGAATACCTACAGGTATAAAGGAGATCCTTCTCAGATCTGCAGCACACATGCAAAGTAGTCTTTACACATTTATTTAAGTATCCTCTTACAAAAAAGCTGTGATTGTTTCAGTGGGAAATAGCAAATCAACATCAAAGTTAACCAGGCTGGCTGGAAAACAGGCTGGGGGGCAGCTCCCTAAGTAGGCGCCTACCTCTCCCTGCAGCCAGCTGTGTTCGGACCTCTGCTAAGGCTTCTGGTCAGGTACCACTGTACAAATGGCCAGCTGCTGTGTCCATCACCGCGTTCCCGGACCCAATACAATCAAGTATTTAGATGCCTGGATGGCATATAGAAACTTCTGCAGATCTTGGTGGAAAGGCCAAAGCTCTAAATACTAACTATTTGCTTAGATCACTGTGGGAGCTAGGCAAAGATCTTCACACTTTTTTTCCTATATACCAAGTACATTTTTATCCTTAAAGGGTGTTATGTGGCCATAAAACTCAGTGACATTACAGGAAATCAATACATATTTTTGGTACTTCAGAAAGGGTCAAATAGCTCACATCATCCTCTCTCTCCTGTTGCCTCCCCATCACACTGGTTATCATGTTTTCCGAAGCATCATTTAACAGGGATGAGTAGCACAGTTGTATGTGCCTAAGAGAAGAAGCAGGCATAGTGTTTGTGTTAATAAATTCTTTAGTCTGTTAATATGAAATACCTTCTCACTTGAAGGAATAGCTGGTCTAGAATACTTCCAACTTCTAAACGTGTTTCATGGCAGGCTGGGATTTAGAGGACAGCTGTGCTTTATGCCTGACCCAAAGATCACTCAAGTCAGTGGTAGATTTCTGAATGATCCCATTTAATCTTGGATTAGTAGCATGAACAGTGATGTGCCAATGGTATATGTGTGTACATTTGAGCTATAATCAATGTAATTCGTATGTCTAGGGTCAGGTGCGTCAGTCTCAGCTGCCCCCAAAGTTGGGTACGTTTCTTTTTAAAGCCCCTATCACTTTTATGCTTAGTCTGAGGCAGTTCTCAATATTCTTGAAAATGGTCTGAAATATTGGTAATGTGCGAACAGCCCATTAAAAGCTCCGGCTGCACCACTTGTTTTCTAAGATGGCACAGGTGAATTGATTTGTCAATGAGATGCCTATTACTTAAACTAAGATGACAAACAGTATGCTGTATTATTACACCTTCTGAGTATCTTAGCAAGGTTTGAATGCAGGTAATTAATTGCTTTTTATTTTCAGGGACAATCAGGTTTTTTGAGAACTTTATTAACTGCTGTGGAACACTGCTTCCATTTCCCAGAAGTTCAGAGAGCCAGTAGCTTGTAGCAAGATCGTTTAGGTTTGCAATTGCTCTGTGAACTCAGTGAAGCCAATTTACTTGAGCTGACAGTCTGTTTTCAAATCTTGTATATACTTAAGTCCTTAATCTTAGTATTCTTGGTCTTAATATCCATAGTCTTGATATCCCAACATCCGTAGATACTTGAGCTTTAGTCTTTTAGTTGAAGAAGACTTCTACTAAGACTGCTTTGAATTACAAATTTACGGTATGTGCATTTTATTTAAAGAGAAAATGACCTGTCAGCCAATCTTTATAAATGGTACTTCATTTTAAATTAGTTAAAAATTAAATTTTGTGTTTCTATGGAGAGCTAGTATAATGATGATATTCCAAACATCACAGTTCTCCATATAATTAACAAGAACTCTGTATGTGTGTGTGCATGTGTGCGTGAACGTGTTCTGGCTGATAACACACTGCTTCTAGAGTTTAGTTCTTTCAGCTACTAATTTTTTTTGCCTTTGCAATTGCTCTGTGAACTCAGTGAAGCCAATTTACTTGAGCTGACAGTCTGTTTTCAAATCTTGTATATACTTAAGTCCTTAATCTTAGTATTCTTGGTCTTAATATCCATAGTCTTGATATCCCAACATCCGTAGATACTTGAGCTTTAGTCTTTTAGTTGAAGAAGACTTCTACTAAGACTGCTTTGAATTACAAATTTACGGTATGTGCATTTTATTTAAAGAGAAAATGACCTGTCAGCCAATCTTTATAAATGGTACTTCATTTTAAATTAGTTAAAAATTAAATTTTGTGTTTCTATGGAGAGCTAGTATAATGATGATATTCCAAACATCACAGTTCTCCATATAATTAACAAGAACTCTGTATGTGTGTGTGCATGTGTGCGTGAACGTGTTCTGGCTGATAACACACTGCTTCTAGAGTTTAGTTCTTTCAGCTACAATTTTTTTTTGCCTTATGCTCTGAGTAAGTATATGATTCTCATCTGAGAGTTTTACACAATAGGTTCATTATAATTAGAATGACACCTTCAGTCTTTATGTATTTTATGTATCTCACTGCCAAAAAAATATTGAGTACATAGATTTTAAAATGAAATGTTAATATACATGCTGAAAATAAATATCTAACCAATTTAATTTTCATCAACACTATCCTTTTCATTTTAGGAACTGCTACAAAGAAAGTATCTGTAAGGAAGTTATCATTTGCTTAAGAAAACAACGTATTAACACAACATTGCACAAGAGAATTTCAATATATGTCTGTGTTACTACATCTTTTAATCTTCAAATATTTTGTTAGCTTGTGGGGGAAAAGTAAAAGATAAATTAAGCCAAACAAATGTCTCTGCAGATCTGTTTTTAATAACAGTGCCACCAGCACCAGAGTGCAGTGAGCCCACAGTTTTATGTGTACTTGAAATGAGACAATATTGCCAGAAAATGAAGTAGTCTTTTCTCCTTCCTCTGGCTGCTTCTGCTTGCTCCCAGCTGCTCATTCCTCTCCGCAAGCATCCCCCACGTGCTGGCAAAAACATTCATGCAGCTGTGTAACGGAGTGTGCAAATTGTGTGAGGTGATAGAAATGTTTTTCTTTTTAAAGCTTTAATCTCCATCAGTCTCCCGCTCCAGTTCACCGTGCAGCCCTGGAAAGGCTTTTGCTGCCAGGCGGGCAGGGGCAGCGCAGTGCTGGGAAGGACTGCTGGGAGGGCAATGCTTGCTGCTTATATGTTTTTTTTGCTGTTGTTTTTCTCTGCGGAGAGGAAGGGGAACTTATGAGCCTATGTGCCTACTCTCTTCTCATTCCAAGCTCCTTACATACAGAACTTATGTTCCATGATTCAGGAGAAAGTTGCCAAAAGGGGCACCAAATCTTACAGACAGTGAAGTTTCAGGAAAAAGATAAAACTGCAGAAGTATTTTGTCCATCTTCACTCTGTCATGATATCTGCTTCCAAACGTTCCTGACCTCCTTTCTATCATTTTCATCCCCATCCAGCAGAGCATCTCAGCAGGAGGGCATGTCTTATATAGCACACCACATCATGGGACAAAGATCCCCAAGTCAGCACTCACCCAAGTCTGCGCTGGGACTGAAAGCCAGATAGGTATGCTAGGGTCACGCTTCTGGAGGCTAAGTACACTGGCTGAAGAAATCATATATGATGAGGACACTGGAGGAGGACTCGTGAAGCTTAAAGGGCAGGGGATCATGACTGCGGGCTTTTGTTTAACTGTAGAGACAAATGAAATTATGGAAAAGCAGAAAAACCCAAACCGACCAGGTGGATGAGTCGTAAGGGCTTGGTCACAGGGGTGAGAAAGGAGCTCGTCTTCTGATCAGGGACGTGCTGCTCTGCCCAAACTGTGTAAGACTTAGGATGACACAGGACAGGACCTCCCCCTGAGCAATTCTCTGTTGCTGGAGGCAACCACACCAGATAACACCTCTCAGAAGTGGTCAAATTCCTTTTTAATGAATTAGGTCCTTTGCCTCCGCTCCTCTACTATAAAGCTCTTCCAAAATTTCACAATGCTGATAATTAGAACTTTTATTTACAGCCGGTTTGTACTCATTTTGCATCTACCTCAGCGTTCTTCCTTGTCCTATCCCTCCCTGATGTTTACTCTGACCTATTTTTAGAGAGCCATCATATCCCCTCACAGCATTACATTCAATAGATTAAAGTAATGAAGCTTTTTTTGTCACCCTTTCATAAGACAGGCTCTCCACTCCCTCAAATATTCCTGTAGCCCCTCTCTGCACCTGTTCCAGTCTGAGTTTCTCTTTCTTGAGCCTGAGTGGCTGGAACGGTACAGAGCGATCCAGAGGAGGTTTCGCCTTGGCCTTGTGCAATGACATTAATATTCACTTTCAGTTCCACCAGCTATACCTCACCTCATACATCTGAGGATCACATTTATTACCTCTTTCGCTTCGCATTATATTCGTGGCTCAGTTATTCTGTGATTATTTAAATACATCCATCTTTTTCTTCTTTGATGATCACCAACTAACAAGCTCCCAAAGTGCAGTAGAAACATCTGTTTTTAATCTCTGTCCCAGAACTACCTGTCCCAAATAATGCGACTTTGCACTTCATCCTATTGCATTTCATGCTCTTTCTGTTGTTCCACTCGAGGCCATACAGGTCTCCTTTTATCTGACACAGCATGTGATCCAGTGTGACCTTTCACGGCTACCTAGCTGAAAGTACAACAGGACTTAAAATAAAGAGCCTTCTAGGAGGTGCTCGTTCATGGTGCTGGAATAGATTTGATTGATAGATTGGTGTGTGAATTGAGGAATGGTTTCCTGATGATTTTAAACAAGAAAGTTAAGAGACTGTATATGAAATCCTTTATTACTTCTGTTTTTCTGTCTTCTTGATGAAGTTAATTGGAATGCATGCTGGTGAAAAAGCCTTTTTTTCCTGAAGCTAGAATGTGCCATCAGGGCGAGCATCGGTTTCTATTAAACTTTCCACAGAAAAGTTAGAGAATCTACTCCTCTCTGAAGAGAAAGAAGTGCTTGAATTCATGTTTTACCTACACAAACCCCATGCCTTTACTAACAGATCAACATGCCAACAAGTGTTCCTTTCTCAGGAAAATGTCCAAAAGGGTATATTTTCATTTGAGTGCTGAAGCAAAATTAGAAAAACACCTCCCAAAACTGTAAAGTCAAGAGTTTTACAGAAATGAATTTTTGATTATGTGCCCTGAGGCTAACAATGACTTCTCCTTTGCTGCCAGGAGACTGAAAAGTCTGATGCCACGGACGAAACTGAGGCACACACGGAAGACAAGGCAGATGAAGGGGCTCATGAAGAGGCTCAGTCTGCTCAGTCACCATCAGAAGATCAACAGGTAAGTTTTCCTTTTTCCCTTTGTGATATGAGGGTTTTACCTGTGCTAAGCACATGAAACATAAACCCACAGGCCCTCCTAGTGTGCCTCAGGGTGGGAAGACTGATTGCAGAGTGGTCCTGCTTGTCTTTTGGATGCATTTTCTTTGACATCATGGTGATATGAAACCTAGATAAAACTCCAGGGAACTTTGCTCTGAATCTTGAATAACAGCAGTTGTCTTTATTTAACAGTTTCCTTTTGCCGCTTGTTACCATAAGCTTTTTTTTTTAATGCTTATTTGGAACCAGACTCTAGTTATGGAGAACAATTTAGGATTAGACGTCCGAGTCCTATCTGTGTGGAAAAATTTGCTGCTATCAATGGCCAGCATCTGCAGTGCCTGTAAATCTCGTTGTTAATGTTTGTTGTCATGTACCAGCATTGACTGCTGTTGCAGCAAGCCAGATCTGACAGTGTCTTCTCCAGGCCATGCAGAAACCCCTGGGCAGTGCAGAAACGGAGACCGTTGTTATCCTTTCTGCCTGCATCATGGTCTGATATTACAGTCACATGGGCAGATCTCAAACTGCAGTGCTAAAGGTTCTTGGGAGAAGCCATCTGCGTTCCTTCAATTCCCTAGTATAATATCCTGCAGTTAGCTAACATCAGTAAAGTATTTGTGGTTGAAAGGTAGATGGATCCCGTGAAAAGGGACCATTCTGTTGTGTGCCGGTGTCATTCTCAGTGGGGTGTTTATGCTACTGGCCAGGTTCTAGACCCAGTAGAGACTAAGCAGAAATGGATCCTGTGTCTGGAGATAGGGATCCAGCGGCTTTATTTCTCTTGCTGCTCTGACAGTTTGGCGTTTAAGGGTGGGTTTATTTGGATGTTGCAGTGTCAGGTGACTCTCTTCCCAAAGTGGCAGGCCTACTGCGGGATCAAGCACTTACACTTGTCGTCTTTTTTTGTGGTTTGGAGATCAGACGGTCCCAGTGGAATATCTGTCACAAATGCATCATCTCTTTCGCTAAAGACCAAGACAAATGTGTTTTGGTTTTTTCCATCTAGCTGCAATGTTTTTCCAGAAGAAGCACCTCTCTGTAAGCCTTTCCCCATTACCCTTTTTGACAATGACCGAACCAGTCATGGTTAGGCTGGAAAAGCACCCTTTTACACAGTCTTATGCAAGTCTCAGGCACTGGGAAGTCCCATTTAAAATTTCAAAATGGTAATGAGGAGAGACAGTCCTCAGTGGGAACTGAAATTTCTCCTTAAATTATCCAAGCACTTTTCAAGTCTCTCTGAATTTCAGCTGGCACGTCAGTGCCATCAAATACCTTTTTCCTCAGCTCTTAAGGGAAGCCCAGCATAAAACTGCTGTGCATCCCCTGGCTGGATTAGGTTACTTGTCATTCTGGCTGACAGTCTACTCTAGTGTTTTTCAAATGAGAACAGAATGCTGGAACATGTCTGCAAATGTGTCAAGCAGCTGTGTATGAGAGGTTTTGTAATGACATAATGCAACGCCACTCCTATACAACAAGCACCTTGCTCCATTTCTCGCAGAATGGATTGGAGCCGTAAGTGGAAAATATATTCTCCTTTAGTTTTACAGGGAGGGGAGTGGCAGAGGAGAGAGCACCAGGTAAGATAGTGTGTTTCAACAGATCTCTCTATGGTTATGAGGGCATAAAATATGGTTGGTCTTACAAATCCTCCCCTTTCAGCTGCACAGTCTTGACAGTGTTGAAATGTTCTTATACAGTCTTACACAAGGAGGAGGAAAAGTCTTCCTGAAATCATCCAACTCTGATACCCACCTTCATCATGCCAGGTGTATATTAGCTCCTAGGAGAAGAAAAAAAATCACTGTTTCTGTTCCTGTCTCGTTTTTAGAGAGGGTGCTCACCACTGCAGGCAGCAAGGTATCAGTGGCTCCTGCCGGGGACGCACAAAAACCATTTTTCACTCTGTTCCACCACCCACTTCCCATGTCACCTAGGACAAATCACTTCAGTGACGTGGCATCTGGCCGCCTTGCCACAGTTCATCCCAATTACCACTTCTGTTGGGATGGCATGAGTCATTCTGTAGAAATTCTGGTATTCTCATTCACTACAGACAGCACGCAGAGGATGAGTTTAGATGAGAAGAATAACTCTGAGGCAGCTGCAGTGAGATGAATTCCACCTTTTGTCTCCGTATCTCATTTTACCCTTATAAAAGAAAGCTAGAATAACATTTCCTTGCCTGGCCAGGGTTTTATGAAGTTAAATACATTTAAAGACTGTCAGATTGCCATTGGAGTCTCTCCACTGGATGTTAGGTCCTAAAGGATACATGTAATATCAACACAGTATTTTCAGATTTCCCTCTCTTCCTCTCATTCTGCAGCCCGGCACATCTTGTGTGACTGCTTGACCACACTGAATAGATGTTTTCCATGTGCTCTCCCCACCCATGTCTTTTTTTCTTCTAGCTTATTAAGAGCTGGTCTCTGTATACTGAGTTCTGAAAGGGTGACTTCTTTATCAGCGGCCCACTGTGTTTTGCAGCCAAACAGTTGCATCTTTTGAACGGTAGTCAGGTCCCTTTTGGAGTGTCAACTTACTCTTTTGACAAACCCTCAAATCAAAATGCCATAATTTAAACGTCGCAGTTTTATGTTCTGCTTCTGAACTAATATACCTGTGGGAATCTAGTATTGGCATTTTGCCCTTATTTAGCACTTAGTTACAAACCAGCTTAAAAATGACTCTCTGATGCGGGGTGTAACCCAGCCGGCTTTTCTCCAGGGACTTTGCAGGAGAAATGCCAGTGCTATGGAAAAATTCTGGAAGAGTCTTGGCGAGGTAAAGATATCTCAGTCTTTGCCAATGAGCATAAGACAGATAACAAAATAAAATGTGACTGCCTCAATTGTGGAGCTGCATGGAAGGTCCCAGATTTCAGAAGGCTCCTCTAACGCCTCAGTAGCAGGAATGGCAGCTGATGGTCAATGTGGGTATGTGTGGAGGCTGCAGCCCACCTCTACTGCTTATGCTGCCTTTGCTGGGAGATGCAGGGGTCCAGAAGCTCCAGCTTTTTGTCTCAGGCTGGTATGACCCTGAGGAAAGGAGCGAGAGACCCCAACCCTCTGAAAAACAAATCTCTCAATTCAGCAGCCGCCTCCTGAAAGCGGCAGGGATAAATGCACAGCGCGGACAGGTTGTTCTTCACACACCTCACATTAGACTGCCTAGGCTTCAGCAGCTCCAGCCCCTCTTTCACACAAGCATCCAGGAAAACCCAGAGCAGATGTCAAAATAGAAAGTCCCTTACACAGATCCAGTAGTAAGTAACAGGAACAGCTTTCAGCCTGGGTCACCAAGGGACAGCTGCACTAGGATTTCTTTAGATTTTTTTTCACCTTAAACCTGTTGCATACTTTCCTTCCCTAGTCACTTCATCAAGCTCATCCTTGACTTCTTCCTAATCTTTTTTTCATTCCTAATCCCCATCCTCTGATGGAGAAGGTTAAGGAACCGTTTTGTTTGGATATAGCGTCCCTTTTTCTTGCTTTGTCTGCCCCTTTGTTTTTGAATTTTTTGAGGAAAAGACTGTGACCTCCTATGCACGTGGCACAGCAGGGGCTCTGCTGGTCACTAGATGTGATGGTAATAATTTTTCTTTATTTTTACTATCTGATTTTAACTTTAGATTTTAGCTTTGGGGTTAGAATATTTTTTAAGTGGTGTCCCAGTTAAATCAGTCTGCAGTACAGATAAGGCTCACTTCAGGGCAGAATTATTTTAGAAACATGTTCAAAAATCATATTATAATGCAAGTCTGTATCCTGTCTCAGCAATGCCCCAGACCATATATAAATCCTGGCACTGCAGCTCACTTCCTTATCTCAACTCATTCTATGCAAACTCGTATCAACCACTCATGCCTTCTGCATGCTACTGTTCCTTTTGCCCTTTCTCTTTGGGATTTTGTGTAAATTAGCTCTTCTCTCCAATAACCAGCTTGGTATCTAACATTAAATTCTATTCCCTGTACATTTATATTTTTTTCTCTTTTATGTCTCTTCTCTTCATCACTTTTGCGCAATCTGCAGTCTAAAACCAGCTTGTATTATTTCTTATTCCCCAGTACTGTTGAGCCAAGGCATCTGTGCCAGCCTACAACAGTTAACAGAATCGCAAGCCAGATTCTGAGTGATGATATATAACATAGATAAGACCCTGTATAATTCTGATTTAACTTTCATTTTGCAGACCAGCTAATTACCAAAACAACAAACAACCCACCTGAAAAAGCAAACAAAACCGCAGCTCTAATGCTTTGCTTGCAAATGAAGCAGATTTGATTGGAAGTAACTGAGAAAGAGAGAGCTGTATTTAATGATTTTATAGCCCTTTTTCAGAGTAAAAGCTTAGCTTAAACATGCTTTGTGAGTTAATCTGGAGGACATTATCTCAAAATAAATCTACTGAATTCCACATAATTTTCCTAAATGCAGTGTTTAATTTCTGCTGTGTTTTGCCTGTATGACCTCTGATATTCTTTCTTTGGTCTATCTTTTAAACGTTTTCTTTTGTATCATCTCTTATGCAGGAAAGCAAGGAAGAACATGCAGCAACAGGGGTATAGTATATTTGGACATTTTGCTTTCATCTTTTGTTTGAGTGCATTGAATTCCTTTTCAGTCTCATCGCTTCACTCAAGAGATAGTAAACTCTTATTCATGAAATTAAATATACCAGTATTATATTCTGCTAGAGAAAATTATTGGTCATATCATAGTCTTATTGTTTGGGAATAAAGACAGACATTTAATCATTAAAAACTGTAAATGGAAGAGAAATTGTCTTTCACAGATTCTTTAATAAAATTTGCCAAGGACTCCCAAGACAACTATATCTTTGACGATTGCTAACTGACACCATGCTGATTACATTTTCAGTATTGTGAGTGTGAGAGAGTCATTCTGAAAATTTAGGCAGTTCTGCCTATAAAGGAAATATTTTCCTTGCCAGAATTTGTAAGACCCAGGTGCAAATCCTTATACGCTTTTCTGCTTTGCCCAGCATTACAAGTTTATGCCTTGAATATTTCTTCAGTGTTCCCAGTAAAACTAATGATTACTTTAGGCTATGAAAATACAAACCTGCCATTAATAAGAGGACACATTCACATCTTCCCACTTCCAAACTGCAATGCATGCATATATACATGTGTATACATGCCTATGCCCGCTGTCAGAGTTATGCATTGTGGACCCTGGGCCCATGGGCAAAGCGTGGGGGCTCCTGGTGAGGCTGGCGAGGGCCATTAAGGCTGGTTAGTGCACCCTGACACCACTAACTAATGCTTCAAGAAAGAAAAATACCAATTTTTTCTATAAAAGGTAATTGACTTGAATTTTGAACTGAAGTTGTTAATATCTGAAAGATGTTGCTTGTCTGTGGGCTTGCCTGGCCCTGTTTCAAAGAGTGCTAATGAAAGGCGCCTTTCCTGGGGGAAGATGCCAAAAGAGGCGATATTGCTTTGTCACGAGAACTTCTACTCCAGCTGACCTGTGGAGACATTCGTGTTACGTTTCTGGTTTTGCAGGGATGATCCCTTAGTGCAATGGTTTTCCCTCAAAAACAATGATTCAAACCAGGAATCTGATTACAACAGGTCCATTCCCAAGCACACGTTTAAGCAGGTTTTTACTTCTGTGACTCAGATGTGACTCTCTTACAGACAGTATGTGTCTGAGAGGAAAACCTAGGGTCTGTGCTGCTCATATACTACCTGCAGTCCTGACTGAAAACTAGTTATGTATTCTTTGATTGGTTGATTACACCAGAAAGAGATTCCCATAATTTTTGTAGTCTAGGTAGTATATGAAGGTATGACATTTTCAGATAAAGCTTATTTATACACACAGATGGAGTGCCTTTGAACAAGAGTGTCCTGGAAGAGAAGGAGCAGAGAAGCCTACAATGCCATTTTCAGTTGTTTTTCAGAGCAGGACTATACTTTAGGGCTTCATTTACTCGCTCTGAGAAGACAATAAACACAGATTGTTGTCTGTGTTACAGAAATGCTAGCTTTCAGATAGCTGTTCATTTGGTTGACTGAAGGAAAGGGCTATTGCCTTTAAATTGTGCCATTTCTCTGTTATAAAAGAGAGAAATAAGAACTTTTCAAACAGAAACAACGCTGTATTATCTGACTCCGAATGATTTTTAGGTTATTCAGGAGTCTAGTTCCTGTGCCATGAATCTTGACTTGTTTACTGCTCCAAGAAAGCATATAATTAAAAATACTACACTTTGTCATATTTACATACCTTTCATATTCCCATTTTGATCTTGAACATCTATTTACAGCTTAACCATGTACCGTGTTCTAACCTCTCTAAGAGGGTTCTTGTATTCCAGCACTTGCCTATTAACTCCACAAAACTAGAACCCTGGCATGTTAAGATTAAAAGCTCTATACATTACTCCTCTGTTCTATTTTTTAAGCTCTAATAATATTGCATTTACCAGAAACATAACAGTTTCAAAAGCAGAGCTCTGCATTTCCAGACTGTTTATTTGTCCTTCATTTCCTATGTGATAACTACAACTATTTTCTATAAAAAAGGAAGAAGAAGAAAAGCAGGAAGAGGGAGAAGAAAAGGAAGAGGTGGAGAAGCAAGAAGAGTCTTAGTACAGTTCCCTATGACACATTCTTTCTTGAACAGGTTTTCAGGTAACTATTAAGATATCCAGCACAGTTTTTAAATGTTCTTAAAGTAACATAAACTTGAAAATTTTGTACGGTATTGTTGTTATATGCAATGACAAGAATGGAAAGAACGTACCAAAACCAATAAAAGGTATTATGTGTTTGACACATAATGGTTAGTAAGAACTATTGCCCTTAGCGAGTCTGTTAGTTTCCCCATTTCTGTGGCACCAATGAAGCTGACTTTCCTATACAGCTGTCTCTGTGATCCCTAATGTCCACCAGGTACTGCAGGCCCTTTGATCCGTTCCCCATCCCTCTTACAACCTTCACCTCCCTGCCAGGCTTCTGACATCTACTTTGGGCTTGTTCCTTCGCGTCTTCCCACGGTATCCCCTAGCTCTCTCCTGTGACCCCTAAGTATGAGCGATGCCAAGTGCAGCATGCTGGGTGTGTACTGCCTGAGTGGTCAGTATATATGCACGAAGTGCCCAACCGATGGGCCAAAAGTACACTTAACTGTTAGATCCATTGCAGCTTCTCTTTCATCTGGGATAAGAATTCGTCTCTCTCCTCTCTGACTCAGCTACTGATTTCACTGAAACTTTTAAGAGCTTCATGTCCACAATGAAACCCCCTCTCAAATTTAGTTGAAAAGTTAAAAAAAAAATTACTGGGGAAGGGAGAGGAGCCTGACCAGAAATACGACACACTATAAAATTACCTTATATTGCCCTAGAAACTAGGCCAAATATGACTTTAAAACCTGAAAAAACAGGAAGCATCTGGGAGGCAGAATTTGTGCCTGTGTAGATGTATGAGCATCCAGCATTGCTTAAGTTTTGTCAGCACGTGGTTTCAAATTTAATTTTCAGGTTTTCTTCTTCCTCCTACTGTCTCTTCTCCTTTGCACAGAAATAAAGATCAAACAATCACTTACTAGGCAAAAAATGTTAACCTACAAGAAAGTTGGAATTTCCAGCAGACTTTTCCTTGGGCGGTGGGGCTCCCTCCTGACTGCAGACACAGGGTGTGATATGCTCTTCCTAGAACTAGCGGGATTCCCAGCTAACTCTGCCTCTGAGGTAGTTGCCGTAGGTTTCACCAACCGTACACTGATGTGCAGACCCAGTGCCTCAACAGGACAGAAAACCTGTCACTTCCTTCATGCCACCTCTCCCGAATCTGGGTTCCTCTGTTGCATGGGAATTAATTCATCCCAATGTTGTCCAGTGTTCAGACATGTAAAATCACAGAAGGAGTGCTAAGTTCTAATCTAATTTTCCTTATTTTTGTTCAGGAAGCACAAGCTGGAGCAGCCCCGCCAAAGAAAATAAAATCACTCACTCAAGCAAACCATCACTACCTTTCATGCCTGTAGACATATGAACATATAAATACCTAACAGAACGAAGACACCGCACTGTCCTACCTGTGGCCTTTATATATATATTTGGTATTCCAATTGCTTGTTAAAATGGGTCTTCTTATATCTGACTGATGATATTTCAGTTGATTGTTATATGTTGGCATAGTATTGTCCATGTCACATTTTAGATTGTAAGCTCCTCAGGGCAGGAACCATGTCTTTCTCCATGTTTATCTACTGCCAAACACATGGCTGCCAATCAGCAGATACCTGCACCCACAGAAGTGATGTATTCAGAGAAAAATTCTGCACTGAAAACTGCAAAGAGGCTTCTTATATATAAGCTATGTGAGTCACTTCTCCCTCAGCTGGCTTTTGAAAATGATTGAGATTTGCATTGTACAGCAGTTTAAATAAATGCTTTTTCTGTCATATCTGTTCTTTGTCTGCAAAAGTATTAATTTAACCCTAGCAAGCTGTGCTAAGATCTGTGAAGTTATGTTTTCTCCATCGTTACGGTTGTAGGCTATACGAAGTCCTTCACCTTGCCTTACGCTCGTGCTGATGTTTCTGGTGTTGTGTGTAAGACCCCAACCGTGAGGATACATGATCTGCATTGAAGGAAAGAGATGTTCCAGCCTCTTCTACTGAAGCCTTGTCAGTCTTTATGGATACATCCGTATTCACTGGGCCAGGGAGGCAGAGAAAATTAATCCACCTTCACGCCATAACTGTTGGTTAGAAGTTCACTGAGGAAGATGGAGCTTAGATTTCAGTCCCTTGCCCAATTACTTTTTGTGAAATTTATAAAAACTGCTTATAGAGGAAGGGAGGGGATGAGAAATGCTTATTGCCAAAGTAGCCCATAGCTTCATAGACAAAGCAATCCCCAAAGGAACCACGAGTTTATGTTTAACTCTGATCAAGAAGATGCTGGCTTTTCAAGCTGAGATCTCCTATACTGCGAGTGCTTGAACAATAACCAAACAAATAAAATGGAAGAAAAATTTGTGGAGGTTTCCTGAATGTCCTGAGTGGGTACATTTTTTTGTTCAGGATACATCTAAAGTTGCAATTGTTGGGAGGGGATGGATGGGGAAGCAGTGCTCTCTGTCAGCGCTTGTTCTTACACTTGTAGGTGACGCTGAGCTCAGAGCTGGCAGGTCCAGCTGAGGGAAGGACCTTGGAGTCCTCACTTACAGCTCACCAAAATCAGCAGCTCAACATGCAGCAGCGGCCAAGACCCAGGAAAATGCTGGGCACCGTCAGGAGGATGGCATGACTTCGCTGCCATATAAAGCTTTGGTGAGTCGACACCTTGAGCACTTGGTGCAGTCTGGTCTCTGCATCTCAGGGAAGGCGTAGTGGCGTAAGAAGAGGTACAGAGAAAACAACAATTAGAGAGGATGGAACAGCTGAGGAGACTGAAGAGGCTCTTCAGTTTGGAGAGGAAGCCAAGGCATTTACAAAAAGCATAAAGGCAGTGAATAAGATGAATGCAGAAGTGTTAGGCAAAAAATCCTGCAATACTATAATGAAAATTAGTCTACACAGTTAGTATACACAAGGAAATTAGTAGATCAGCTTAAAAGAGATAAAAGAGAGTACTTTTTATACGGTGGGTTGGGAACTTCTGGAATTTGTTGTCACAGGACATTATGGAGACCGACAATGTCAACAGGCCCAAGAAGGTATTGGGCAATGTCAGGAACAGGCGGCTCTTAAGTGGATACTACAGCCTGGGATGTGTCCACCAATATCCCTCATCCAATGAATCGTGGATGCTGGGGGCTGGGGGCAGAAGAAATTGAATATGGCAGACTTGGTCTCCCTAAAGAGCATTGCCCATTTCCACTTTCAAAGACTCAGTACCGGGTTAGGTGAGCCACTGATCGGACCATTTCTTATGTTCTCTGCAGGTGATGGGGAAAATGCTCCCCATCTCGCCGGCAGCTGAATTGGGGTGCCAGTCATTGCTGCAGTAGTTCTGAGCAAAGGGTGGTCTTTTGGGAGGATGGTAGACAAAATGAAAACAGAATTGTTAATCACTTTGGAAATGCAGTAAATCCAACACAGTGAGCATGTGTTGTGCAACAGCCGGCGTGTTCGTGGTAGCCTTGATGTATCCCTGGGCTCTCTGAGCTTCATACAGCTGATGAACCACGGGAGCTGCTTTTCACCCCACCGATGTACAGAACAAAGAGCCTGAGCGTACTCGATACATCAAGCAGGCCCAAAGGATTTGGGCTTGAAACAAAAACAGCACACCTTGCATATTCAGGTATTACTTGTTAAGGCAGAAATATGACAACCATCTTCTTGAGAGGGTATAATCTGGAAAGCCGGTCAGGGAATGTGAGGAATGCTAAGCCTCCCATACAGGAGTGACGCGCTCCCCTGGTCTTCAGCTGGTGACTGAGGTTATGCTCGGTGTGTAGTGAAAAAGCGAATGGCATGGTGGATGGTCGTACTCACAACACAGCTCTTTGGTGCGTTCCTTGGGATAATGACCTTTAGCATGTGCTGATCATCTTTTCTGCCAGACGAAAAGGAGGTCGTGAGTATGCAAAGGATAAACTGAAAGCTGACTGCTGCTCGGTGATTTTAGCCGTAACGCTAATTCTGCTCACATAAGCTTAATACTTTCTGAGGTAATTTAGTGCGACTAGGAAAAGAATTAAGTCTTTTCTAACTACAGCACAGTAGCACAAATATGTGGGCTATCGACTTAAATGCATTTGAAAACACACTGTCTGCATTTTTATATAATTCATATTTTACTGTGAGAAAGCAACTGCAGTCGGTTAACAGGGCGCGCCCGGTACAGGGCGTTTCACATGCTTCAGGGAACTGTGGATGCAAAATCATCCCGGTGCACCACAGCTAAACACAAAACAGCATGCTGCTTTTTGTGACACTTTGGTATGTAAAGTATTTTCCTTGGATGAATGATGTTAGAAACGCCTACTATACTGAAACAAGGTAAAATTAGAAAGGCTTCAAGCCATGCTTCTATAGAGCCATATATGTCATAGGATGGTGGCTGTTTGCACTTTAAAACGATTGATTGTCAAGACTGCTGAAGTGTAAAAGAAGCGACTACAAGTGTCATCAAAAAGCAACTAAGTAGATAGGGCTAGTCAATGGCTTGCTTTCTAGGAAAATAAATCTTAGGAGCTTCATTCTGTTGCTAGTAATAAAGGGTTTTGAATAACAGGTCCAGAAGGCAACCTGGGCCGTGCTGTCTCTTGCATGAGAGCACTTCTGAGCCAACAAATTGTGTAAGAGGTTTTCTCCTAAGGAAACTCTAGGGGAAATTCATTGGAGAGAAATTAAACTGTTCAGTAATTTTGCCAATACAGCATTAGCCCCACCAATCAGTGTTTCTGGTCACCTTTCCAGCCACCTCATCTGTTCACTTGCCTTCCAAATAATAAGACCTGCTAACAGTCTTCTGTTTACTGCAAGAATATCAGTGTTAAAGGAGATAAGACTATTTATCTGCATCCTTTGACAGCTTCAGAAGGCTGGAAATACGCTTGACAAACAATCTGGGAAGCTGAAAATTCAAGATAGTAATTTCTTCAGAAGGCAGATTGGAAGTTTGTGGTTTGACGTCAAATATCTGGAAGAACGCTTGCTGTTCCTCCAGTTGCAAAGCCATTGCCATGCATACAGCAAACAGAGGAGATGGCGATTCTCAGCTGAGACTCTCATTCTTAATGAGTTACTGTCTCCATGTTGCTCATGAGGAAGTAAGGTACAGAGGTAGGACGACATGCTTAATACCACAGATCAAGGGCACTAGAGTCCGAATTAGATGTGGACTACCTGCTGTGCATTCCCCTGCTTCAGAACATGCCAGCCACGGTTTTGCATGTGGTGATGACTTTCTGTCACTAAATATTTTGAATCATTTAGGTTGGAAAAGACCCTTAAGATCATCGAGTCCAACCGTAAGCCTAACACTGCCAACTCCATCACTAAACCATGTCCCTAAGCGCCACATCTACACGTCTTTTAAATACCTCCAGGGATAAAAGTAGGAGGGAGCTGTGGAGTCCTTATCTCAGAGGGACAAAGGATGAATCTCTGAGAACACCTGGAACTGCTTTACAGTGACCACAGTTTCTTCGAGGAACAGTACCTTTCTCTTTCAGGATGTTTGATTTGTGAGGAATAAAGTTGTCACCAGGTTTAAGAGAAGTTGAGTTTTGATACCAGCCTGTCCAAAACCATTTTTGACCACAGACTATTCAGTTGACTTCCTTGCACCTTACTTTCCCTATGAAAGTGAGAAAATACTTGTAGAAAATTTATGGGAATAAAATCAGTGCATCAGTGCACTGATCGAAAGATGAAAGTGTAACTGCATCTTCTTTCTTTGATAAGGTTTTGCTTCTGAGTTGTCAATTCCACATTAAAAATGTTAATTTCTACTTTTTTCCCATCATATTGATATCTGACAGCTATCAAAACCACCTTCTCCTTTACATTATATCTTCACTGCTTTCTTACCTAACTCTACTATTAAGCAGCCTACAGAAGAAATGACTGAAAAAATGGTCACCTTTCCTTCTTTGTTGCTCACTGGCCTAGATCAGAATTGCACTTGCAGAACGGCTCTTTGGGGATTCCTCTTAAATATCAACTATGTCAGCATCTCCATTCTCTCAGAGTTTAACAAGCATGTATCCATGCACACTTATGTCACAAGCTGTCCTCCAAAATATGTATAAGTTTATAGTCGTTTGATTGAAGTCAGATTCATACGGCTTACACATTTACTAAGCAATATATTTTGACTGAACAGAACTTGTCTGGGTTTCCTACTTCACTGAAAAAGTTTAGACCATATTTCTGAAGTTACAGAAGCTACTTCTTTATGTAAGTAGAAGAGGATGTCACACAGAGTGCATTCCTGTTAGCTAGCTGTGATTTTGCTGATAGGTGTGGAAAAAAGGCATTAGCATCTCTACTTTTTCAGCAGTGTAATCCTTCAGGAAAATGTAACCCTGGAACAGGAAGCCTGGAGGCAGAAAACAATGCAAGAACCTAGAAGAACTTTTATTTTTTTTTTCTTAACTGCTTAGCACCCGAGTGGAGCTCGGCAGATCAAAGACCGAAGAGAAACCTTGCCTGGGAGGGTGGGCCCATCAGCAACCCACCTCACGCTGATGTACACCCCGTGCAGAAGCCCTGTAGCTGTGTACTGCCGTGGGCGCTTTCCCTTCTCCCGAGTCACTGGCTCAGTGCCCGGCTGACGAGTTGGAGCAAGTCCCCATGCACCCCCCAGATCTGCTGCACCTTGGTGCAGCAGAGGGGGACTCCTGGGGAGGGTCAACCTCCTCGATCCCATCAGATGGCTGGGAGGTACCCACGGCTGGAGGGGAGCCCGAGGAAGCCTTCCTCCCATCGTGGACACTATGCACTGGCAGCTGGTGAAGCAGCTTTCAGCGTTAGAATAAAAGCTATCCTGTAGCTCCTGCAAACAGCTCTGGACAGCAGCGCTCAGTAGTTTAAGCTGACTTGACGGTGGCCCAAGCTGGGCACTCAAGACCTGTTCTCCTCTTTGGGCTGGGAGGATTTCATCTCTCCCACTGCAATCACGTGCTGCCTGTCCTGCAAAAGCAGCCTTGGAGGGGTTATTGCGACAAGGGAGTCCCGGCGAGCACGGGAGGTGACTTCAGAGATAGATACGGGGATACAGCGGAGCCAGGAGTGCACAAAGGTAGGGGTGAGGGTAGCTGTCAAAGCCAGAGCACCCAACTCTCAGCTGACTGCCCACGCGGAGCGATGGCTGTGGAGCTGGTAGCAAAGCATGGCGGTTTCTGCTCTGCTGACTGTAAGGATGGGATGCTGGACGGAGGCCATTTTTCTGTCAGTTCCAATTTCCAGCTTTCTGGGGAAATTTTTTATTTCTTTTTGACCTTCAAGCTTTACAATGTTTGAGCAGTAAGGCTAGAAGAGAGTTTATATAGTTTTTCTTAATAGTGGCCTACTGTGCTGGAGGAGTGTTTGTG